CCAGCTAAATATTCCCCTCAGCAACCTCGAGCTAGTAATGACAAAAGTACGATATTAGTATGATTTTATTTTACTGATGCCATGTTTTTCAGTTAATTTTATATTTTGTCACATTTTTTGGACTGGAATAGGAGACCACCGTGGCAAATAATGTTTGTGTTTTTAAATGAACAGTCACAATTGTTAAATTAATAGTCCGTCCTTCCGTAAACCGTACATTCAATTTTACCTTCTTTTTTTTTTTCAAATTTAGGATAATACATGTGTTAGGACATGCCTACATTAGACACAAGAGTGTATGAGTGTTTGTACCTTATTCTGCAATTTTGTTCTTAAATAAACAATGTAGTTAAAATTGATGGGGGGATTTTCTTGATCTACTAAATCACAATTGTTTATATCCTGTGAGTAAAGCACAATGACCTAGTTTTACTTTACAGACAAAATCTGAACAGTTGCATTGATATAATTAAATATTAAGTAGCATACGAATAAGGTTTAGACAAACCACTACATTAGCTATATTAAGATGTTGGAAATTGTAAAATTACATAAAATAAAAATTCATAATTTGAACACTGCTCTACTAAATACAATATTTAGCTAATTTACAAAAAGTCATGTATTTTGACATGGCTATTCTTTTAAATGTATTTTCTAAAATTAATTAGGATGATGGGAGATTATTTTCTTAACCCAAATCTGTAACGTACGTTTTAACTCGACTTTGCAATTTGGACTGCATTGCAATTTGGGTGAATAATCATGCATGACAGTCAACTTAGCGTCCTTAAGGTAAACGTAGTTTTGTAACTGCTACAATACATACGAAATTATATTGTATGGACTTTCAAACGCAGGTCGCACATATATGCCATATATATAGCCCATGGGATCGAACATTGTGTCAATAAGCCTTAGAACATGCAAATATCGACGAATTCGACGCATTTGTCTCGATGTGATACAACAGTGTAATGCATAAATTCAGACGTTTTATCACAGTGCTTTGTCGTCAGGTAAATGTGTTCCTTATTACCACGGTTTTAAGAAAGTCGCCACTCTACGGATCATATATTGTCACGCCTGTGAATTTCCTATTGTGACCTGTCAAAATGTCTGCCAGGAAAAGGAAAATGTCTCGGAATGCATGTGAAGCCGATCTTCGATAAAATGTAGTTTATTCTCTTTAGGTCAAAATCGTACTCCAATAACGTATGAAACAAAATGTTTTAGAATTGTTTGAGTCAGTGTGCACCTTTTATACATTTAGAATTACAGAAGAAAGGTGAAAGCGCTGGGGTGCCACAAAAATACAACTCCCATAAGTCCCTACTGCCATCGTGTAGGTGTTTCCGGTGTCCTATGACATTTTACTTCCTTCCACACACACCGACACGAACAAATCCAGAAAGAGACGTTGCTAACTTTCAAATGCGGTCAATCCCGCTCGATTCTTACCAGTTTGGTTTTTTTATGATATTTGTAAAATACTTGGTATGTGGCTGCTCTTGTGTGTGTGAAGCCAAGAGGTTTTGAAAATTGTATAGCGTACCGCTTAGGCCTCCGAAGAAAGTTTGGTCGAGGGGCCTGCTGTAAACAACATGTCCTCCGCCTCGCAGTCTTCCTCCCGACGGCAGTGGTGCTACCTCTGCGATTTGCCCAAGATGCCCTGGGCCATGTTGTGGGAGTTTAGCGAGGCCGTTTGCCGTGGATGTGTCAACTATGACGGAGCAGACAGAATAGAGCTTCTCATTGAAACTGCCAGGCAACTGAAAAGCACGCACGGGGTTTTAGACGGCCGATCTCCGGGTTCACAGCAGAGCAAACCTAGCTCTGCCGGATCCATAGAAGCAGGGCGGCCGCATGGAGAGCGTATAGACAGGGGGAGGGGTGAGTATGGTGTGTCCTCCCGACTTCCCAACGGCCTTCACAGAGCAGAAGATGTGGCTCTGTCTGAGAGCAGCCGACAGAGCCCTAACACTCGTCGGGCAATTGCTGGGGCAGTTCCTAGTCTACATAATACCATACCACATGCGTTGATAGCTCAGGGGTTGATTGCAGCCCCTCATGGTCTTTTGCCCCCAATATCTAGCTCAAGGTCTGGGGCTACACCTATTGCAATATCTGGTGGCCCCATAATAGATGCTGGAAGAAGACAGGCTGTGCAACTGGGTGTTGGAACCAGTACCTCTTCTCTGGTAGGTGTAGATCCTGCGTTGTGGAGGAACAATGAAATGATGACTGAACTGAATGAAATCTCTCGCAGTAGGATTGAAGGCTGGCCAAACCGCCCCAAAGCAGTACGGGATGTGCTTGTTGCTCTCAGCAGCTGTGTACCCTTTAATGTTCGCTTCAGAAAAGACCACAATCTGATTGGTCGAGTTCTTGCTTTTGATGCCAGTACCACACCAGAGTTTGAGCTGAAAGTGTTTGTGGAGTATCCTGCTGGGTCTGGAATGATCTTTTCAGGAATCCCAGACCTGGTGAGACAGATGTTTCGTGATTCTGCCAAAGATGCAGGCAAAGCAGTGAATTCTGGACTTAGATATGTGGAGTATGAGAAGCGACAAGGGACAGGAGACTGGCGTGGGCTATCTGAGCTTCTGAATGAGGGTGTACGCATGTTCAAGGAGCCCCCAATCCCAGAAGTTCTACCACAACCTGATCCAATGTTATCCATGGCAGCCGCTGGACGCTCTGTACCAGTGAAGAGCACAACTCGGCGCCGTAAGGCATCTCCAGGATCTGAAAATGGAGAGAGTGAAGGAAGGCCTGACCAACCCAACAGAGAACCATGGCCACGAGGTGCTTACTCAGGCATGGAACCACTGCCAGGCATGGCTGTCCCCCAAGAAGTCCCACCCCGTTTACACAGCCAGCCCTCACCAATCTCAGCACTCATGGGAGTTGCGGACAGTCTGAGTTCCAGCCAGATGGCCAGAGACAGCCCCAACATGTCCTCAGCCCACTCCTCTTCAACTGGGCGACCCACCAGCAGCAGCCCCTCCACTGCCTCCACCTCAGTCTCCCAGGCGTCCATGGGGCAGGCACTAAGTGCAGCAGGGCCTGGTACCAATAGCACTGCTGGGGAGTCTTCAAGCAGTGCCCAGGGCACCCTGCTATGCTGCAGTCTCTGCAGGGAGCGCTTAGAGGACACTCATTTTGTCCAGTGTCCCTCTGTTGTGCACCACAAGTTCTGCTTCCCCTGCACTCGTGGCTTCATCCGCAGCCAAGGTCAAGGGGGTGAGGTGTACTGCCCTAGTGGAGAACGATGTCCCCTTGCCGGATCCACAGTGCCTTGGGCCTTCATGCAGGGAGAAATCTCTACCATCCTGGCGGGAGATGGTGATGTGACAGTAAAGAAGGAGAGTGACCCTTGACATCTTCATCCTTGTGTCAAATGGTAAGTTGGAGTAACATCTGCTGTTTTGTTTTTACTTATTAGGTTATTGAGTTAATGCGATTTTCTGTCAGTCCTAAATGTCTCAAATAATTAATCAAATATAGTTTACAGGTTGGACTAATAATTAAGGAGTTCATGTCTAGTGTGTATAATATTATACAGTCACAGTATTTCAATTGACCAACTAATGAGATTTTAACAGAACATTTCAGTAATGTTGGCAAATTTGTAAATCATACATCTGTAAATACATTTGTAAATACGTTCACAATAATAGCTAGCTTTATTAGGTTTGCAACAAAGCAAACCAAAGGATAAGTGCAAATACCAGATCCCTTTCACATGGGAACATTTTTGCTGGCACAGTTTTTTTTTTTTTTTCCCTATACGGAGGCTGTAAACAAAAAATAGCTTCAGTAAATCAATACTTATTGCCTATAAGATGATGGGGGGGAAAATATATCTGGCGATTTATAGTGTATCTTTACAAAAACTAAAACCATGTGAAACTAAACCTTATGTTTGTATTGTATTTTCAATTCAATCAAATCATATGTTAAGCATTAAAAATGTTTCTTTTTCACAGGGCATTAAAAATAACATTAGGTAGAAGAGATGAGACAATAGTGATTGTGCTTTACAAGAAAACATATTTAATCTACAGAGCTGCTTGCTATTTAGAAATTGCATTTGTTCAAATCAAATGCATTAGTTTGGAAACCAAATTCAGCATCAGTCTGTGCATCTCCTGTTGTGTGGCAGCAGACAATGCTTTCTTGTGAACCCTGTGTAGTTTCAGATCTATAACCAAATGTATTTAGTCTGAGGTAACCTTCCTCTTACTTTAACAAAGTAGTTTGTTTTTGAATGTAGCTTAGTCACATGACCTCCTTTTAATGTGAGTGTTGTTTCTTGGTTGCACCTGACCTAATTTTGTACCACAGGTCAGTGTACCTGGCTGCCTCTGATGCCTACCAGTTCTTGGTTGATGGTACTGATTGTAGTCTGTTAGAGAATTAGTTGCGATGTGTCTGCAGTTACATTGCTGTCTTAGCTGGTGGCTGTGTCTTTGTGCTTTTTCAAAGGAGGACAACAACACATCTTAATGCCAGTCTGCTGATGCATAATGGGTCATGCGTACGCAAGCTAACCACAGTATACCTGTGACATGCAGTGTTGGGCACGTCACTTTAAAATAGTAAAAAAAAAAGTAAAAGTAAGTTTAACGATATAAATGACTCTATCTGTATTTGCTTTAAAATACATAGCTGGTTATGGTTAAAATAAAAATTATACACTTTTTGGTACATCAACCTTTGATCAAAAGTAACATACTGTACCAATAAATTCCTTAAAATTGTTAAAAGAAGTTTCTCAAAAATGAATTAAAATGCACTAATTTTCCTTAAAAGATGTAGTAATGTTTATTGTTTCTATTCAGACAAATACAATTGTTTTGTATATCAGCAAATGATCAACAGCAACGTACTATAGTAATCAATTTCTGAACAAATAAAAGAAAATAAAAGATTCTCAAAAATAAATGGAGATGCATTAATTTGCCTCGGAATACATAGTAATGGCCATTTATGTAGTTAAAAATCAGAATAAATATACTTTTTTGGTACGGCAACTTTTGATCACAGCAAAATCCTATACTAATAATTTCCTGAAAAAGTCTTCAAAAATAAAAGTTTCTTAATAATGACTAAAAATGCACTCATATGCCTTAAAATACATAGAAATGACCATTTGTATGGTTAGAAATCAGAATTAATATACAGTACGTTTGGTACCTCAACCATTGAAAACAGTAACGTACAATACCAATAAGTTACTGAACAAATCTCTGAAAATAAAAGTTTCTCAAAAATGACTAAAAATACACTGATTTGCCTCAAAATACTTAGCTATGTCCATTTCTGTGGTTAAAATTCAGAATTAATATACTTTTTTGGTACCTCAACTATTGATAACAGTAAAGTACAATACCAGTAAGTTCCTGAACAAATCTCCGAAAATAAAAGTTTCTCAAAAATGACTAAAAATACACTAATTTGCCTTAACATACTTAGCTATGTCCATTTTTGCAGTTAAATTTCAGAAGAATTATACTTTTTTGGTACACCAACTTTTGATCACAGTAAAATACCATACCAATAAGTTCCTGAACAAATCTCCGAAAATAAAAGTTTCTCGAAAATGACTAAAAATACACTGATTTGCCTCAAAATACTTAGCTATGTCCATTTCTGTGGTTAAAATTCAGAAAAAAATATACTTTTTTGGTACTTCAATCATTGATAACCGTAAGGTACAATACCAATAAGTTCCTGAACAAATCTCAAAGTAAAAGTTTCTCAAAGATAACTAAAAATGCTCTTAGCTGCCTTAAAATACATAGTAAAGACCATTTGTATGGTTAAAAATCAGAATTAATATACTTTTTTGGTTCCACAACCATTAATAACAATAAAATACAATACAAATAAGTTCCTGAACGAACCTCCGAAAATAAAAGTTTCTCAAAAATGACTAAAAATACACTAATTTGCCTTAAAATACATAACGATAACCATTTGTTTGTTCAAAAATCAGAATACATTTTCTTTAAAATACGTAGCAGTGTTCCTTTTTATGGTTAAAATATAAAATATAAAAAAAAATGTTACATCAAGCTTTGATCGAAAGCAACATCCTATACTAATTAATTAATTCGTTCTGGGTCAAAAGATATTCTGATTGGTTGATCTTTCCTTGTTTTTCAAGTATATTTCTTTTTCTATTTTTTTTTTTCATCGTTGCCTTTCCACTTAATTTTTGAAACATGTCCCACATTTATTTTTAGTTTTAGGTAATGTTAATGTTTTAAGTTTAACATTACCTGACACCGAGGTATAGCCCTAAACATTGATAATGGTATAAAGGACAAGGTGGTGACTAATAAACAATGAAATCTCCATGAGAACGGAAAAACAAAATAAATGCCTTCTCAAAAAGCCCAAAGCAACAAAACACAAATATAGCGTTTCATTTGTACAATATGTTATGTTATTGTTATATGTTATTATTCTTAATAGTAATAAATCAACTTAAAACAAATTTGACTGAGACATTTCTGTCCTAACGATTTGAAATGTTCTTGTCTCCACAGCATATGGAACCCTTTGAAAAGCACTTCCCAATCAGAGTTCCTGTCTGGTTGCAGATTATCATTTGTGCCTCTGAGAACGGACACAAACTCAGAAGGAACAACAGAAAACACACAACTCCCACACAACACTGTTTTAAGTGGAGAACCCCTTCTCTGCTCTCCCGTGCAGGATGGGCCGAACGTTGAATTCTGACCACATTTCTCCTTCTCCTCCTCGCCTCATTTAAGAACGCAGAATTGACAGCACATGCTAATTTGTTTCTTTTAAGAACGACAATCTTTCTCCGGTTTCCCATTTGTGTTGTTATATATGTTGTAACTGTCGTATACTAATGGATGACAGTTATACTTAGGATGGAATCACAGAAAAACAAAGGATTGTTGCAAAACCATTGGGTCCTTAAGGATTTAAAAATGTAATCCAATACTGTTTCTTAGTATTCTCCCTATATCGTTTGTCAAAAATGTGAATTTACTTTCAATATGGCTATGTAATTTCTATTTTTGATACAATACAAATTTATATGTATTTGTTTATAGTGATAAGAAGACCAAAGATGGCTTCATGCGCAATGTAATTTTATTGTATTGTAGCTGTGTATGCTGTTCTCACTGATGACCTGGGCATAAGTCACTAATTTGTTCACAGATCGATCACAGATGTAAGCTCATTATGTCTATTTACTTTAATTGTACATAAGATGAGTAGCACCAAGACCTTCAGTTGTTAAGACACGATCCTCGCAGGTCAGTTCTACAATAAACTACAGATTTCAACTTCACTCAAAGCTGAAAAGTACACCTGATCATAAACATTTCATTTGACAAATACTCTGCCAAAAACGCCCACTCCGTGTATTTCTAAAACAATTCAGTGTAAATGTGTCTGTATGAACATAATCAGCATGTATGCCTTGAAATGCAGTTAACCAGTTCTGTAAACACTGCTTACTCTAGTGCCAATGGGCACAGTTAACATAAAAGTCAACATATATATTATCACATGGAAGATTAGAAATATATACCCACATATACCCACATTACGTTGAGTAAGCTAATATACTTGTGGATATTCTGTCATCCAGGTCATCATAACAATCTCAACAGTTATAAAGTAGGCAACTAAACACACCTCAAGTCAAGTCAAGTCAAGTCAAAGATGTTTCGCCTTTCATCCAAGAGGCTTCATCCGTTTTACTGTCCTAGTGGGAAGTTTACAGGTATTTATCCACCCCAAAAGGGATGTGGTGTCTGGTGTGGAGTTGTTGGTCCTATGGTGGCAGTTGTTGGTGTCATTTTCCCTCCCTGTCCTCCCCCGAGGACAGGGAGGGGGAATGTTCCACCAGAGGACCAACAACTCGCATGACCACCTAATATTGTCCGTGCCCATGGCCACTTCACTCGACACCACAACCCCCTTTGGTATATTCCTGGAAACACCCCACCAGAACAGTAGAACTGATGAAGCCTCTTTGATAAAAGACGAAACGTCTTCAACTTTCTTCAGGTGAGTCCGTTTCCTACTTTCAAAACTGCTTTTGAGATTACTAATAGACGATAGCATTGCTTCTGTGTAAACATACAAATATGAAAGGCAGTGGAATAAATTCTTTTTTTCTTTCCTCACACTAATCTTTTTGATTGGAAGGCACTAAGATGTGACAGCTCATCCATTGGACGTCTGCTGCAGGTTCAGATGGGGCAACCTGAGTCCCGCAGAGCCTCCTGAGCTCCCTTCAGGGTCTCCTGCTTCACACACTTCCAGTAGCCAGAGAAGCCGTGCTGAGGCTGCACCTAAGGGCAAAGGTCACGATCAACACAGCCAGCAGGACTGATGTTCACTCGCCCTAGTACACGGTCCATACAAGTATGTCCACCACGTTTGATTTTGCCAAGTTCAACAAGTCACATTTAATAACTGTAATTACAACGGTTCTGTAATTTGTTACTGAAACACTTTTTTATCTTATGTGATGAAATTATATTTTGCCCCAATAGCCATAAATAAATAAATGTCTGAAAATGTAACAGCCAGTGTCTGCTGCCCTTGCAGTACTGTTAACACGACACCAGAGTCAGCCTGTGTACCTGCATTGTAGCAGCAGTCTCCAAAGTAGGGCGCATGCCTCACTAAAGGGACACAAACTTCTCTTTTTTCAGTCACTTCAAAACATCCATTAGAGCATCAATTTTGTCTATGGTATATTTGTTTAATCTGTTAAAACAGCAAAATAATGAACATTCAGACAAATTTGGAAGCATTGCAGTAATGACAAAGTTATACAATCCAATTATTCCAAATAATGATTTAAATTACCATTTCCACCACATCCACTTTTTGGTTTGTTATTTTACTGAATTGCATGTTTTATAACAAAAATCAATGATGCAATGGTGTTCTAATGATTTCACATAATATTTTTTGGAGTTTTTTCACAATAGTAAGGCTAAAGTAAGGCATGTTTTGGGTGATATTTTGGAATATTCATATGAGATACTTTTTGAAGTTTTAAACACAAAATATTCACTCTGCAGCATTTTCGGCATAATTTTGCATTTTTAGGCGTTTCTGGGACTT